TGTGTGTGTGTGTGTGTGTGTGTGTGTGTGTGTGTGTGTGTGTCTCACCGCAGGTTTCCACAGCAGTCTCCAGCAGCCAGGTGCTGTCCATCAGGACTGACAGCCAGGACTCGTACCCCTGCCTTGCCCCCGGTCCTCTCCCCCACATGCAGGATCCTCAGCAGGTCCTGAAACATGCCGACTCATCAAGCTGTCCTGAGGAGGAACCCTACAGTGGGCCGAGGCCAGGGTCTCACCTGGCTGTAGAGGTTCCTGGGTCCAGTGGGGGGGTCGGTGTTCCACAGTCGGATGGTGTTGTCAGAGGAACAGGTGAGGAAGGACGACGCAGGCAGGCAGGCCTGAGACGGGTCCTGCAGCTCCGGGTACACCTGGACAWCCCAAAAACTGTTTCTAAATGTGGCAAAAACTGAACAGAACCCGTTCTGGTTCTGGTTCTGGTTCCACAAACATCTTATAATAAGAACAGGAGAGCGAGCAGACATCAGAACTTTTAGTGTGACCCRTTTCTGAGCTAAAGGTGGTCACACCTCACCAGGTGTTTCCTGTTTTCATCAGCGGGAGTCGGTGTTCCTCAGGGTCGTGTCAGGCTGTTTGATCTGATTGAACAGAGCTTTAGGTTCAACACACAGTATGTTTGGAACAATACAGATTTTATAATTTATTTTATCATCTTGTCTTCTGAAGATGCTCTGTGTTGAAGGATCAGTGGATCTGTGTTCGACAGTCCCTCACACAAGTTACTCATTACCTCCATACTTTCTGCTACCCACGACAACGCAACAACTAGGGGTGCAACAATACATGTAACTGTATCTAACTGTTCAATGCAGTGCTTTAGGTTCAATAAGTACTTGTCTTGGACAATATAGATTTTCAATATTTCTTTTAACATCTTATTTTCTGAAGATGAGCTGTGTCGAAGGCTCAGCGGATCTGTGTTCAACTCTAAGCCGCATTGTCGAGCACAGATCCACAAAGCAACTGAATAATCCATGGCTGCAGACCATGGAACAGGGCGGGGTCAGATTATAGGCCGGTTCGGACGTCTGACCCTGCCCTCAACTCTAAAATTAACCAACCCCAAATGCTAAATTSTAAAATTAACCACTCCCGATTTTTCAAGCCTCATATTAACCCAACAAGTCGTGACCACGCCCATTGGACGTCCAACACCGTGTACTGTACGACCCCGCCCCATTCCGTGTTCCGCAGCCGGGGGTACTTGAAGAAACTTGCTGTTTCAGCAACATTTAATTTAAAAACTGTACTTTTGAGGTTAAACGAATGTTCAGAATTAATTTCAATAAATTACAAGTTAACATGCATGGAAATTTCTCTCTTTTTTTGTATAATAAAATATTGAACCATGACACTAACGTATCGACTCAAACCTAATTGTGATTTTTCTGTATCATTACACCCCTAATAGATATATATAAATACATAAAAAATCAGCTGACCACTGCTGACTGAGTGACAGTCATCTTAGCAGTTAGTGATTAGCTGTTAGTGTTAASTTACACTAATTTTTACTTGTTTAGCATTGGCTGCTAATGTTATTTTTACATGTTTAGKGATACAGATTTTTGATTAGCTGTGCTGAAAATTAGTGGACGCTAACGCTAAATGATAAACACGAGGTCTGTCATTCAAACAGACCAGTGGTATCCACAGAAATGTCAGAATCTTGGTCAAAAGGTCATAAAACCATTGCTTGGTCCATCAAACAGTTCAAACTACAAGCAGCTGAAAAGGTACATGTAATCAGAAAACTCAGCCTCGGCTCTGTTAGATTTGTCATTAGCTTTTMGCAGATTAGCTGAACTGCTGTCCAAATATCATATTTCATTTCAACTTCACACTGCAGGGTCTTACTCTAAAGCAGTGATTCCCAAACTTTTTGTCTTCTGACCCCCAAAATATCCATGGCAAAAACTTGTGACCCCAAATATTACTGGTCTGAGTATATTAGCTTCATTGATAACCCTTAAAACACAGGCTTTTTGACAAGCTAAACAGCTTATACACAAATATAAATACTTATTTTTACTTATTTTGTGTTTTTGTAATAWTTATAGGGAAAATATTGCATCAGCAATTATTTTATTACCCTTTAAATTGATTTCGGGAGATTATCCAAGGTGCTTCATGACCCATAATTGGGTCCCAAGTCCAACTTTGGTAACCAAAGTGCAGTGGTTCCCAACTTTTTCAGCTTTTGACCCACAACATAGTAACAATATTTAGCAGAGACCTGAGCCCCCAACTGTTTTTGGATGATAAACATTTGTATCAGGTCAACTAAACATGGGCACAGTAACAATATTTTTTATACTACATTTAGCCATTTTAAATATACTAACCTCACTCATTTGTAACAACTAAGGCAAAAATGTCATTAATTCAGAAAAWATTTTCAGGACCCCACCTTGATGTTTTGGGACCCCACTTTGGGTCCCAACCCCAACTTTGAGAAACACTGCTCTAAAGTGGTTATTTCTAGTCACACCTAAATGCAGAAGGCTGTGCTCTGGTATGACCACCAGTGGATGAATCACTCTGCTTTTGTGCGTGTAGAGATCTTACATCAGATGCTGCCGTGTCCTGCTGTGCCCTTAAAAGGCTTCATAAAGTTTCATACATGTGGGCACATTGAATCTRTAGAAAACGCTGTCAAGCAGCCCTCATCACGGTCACAGCGGCTACAAAGTGGGAATTTCACCTACAGCTCTGCTCCAACCTGTCCAACATCACGTCAAACAGAGCATGTCACACAAAGGTAATAGTTAGAACCATGACAGGCTGTCAGTGTGAACAAAAACACCTGAGAGATTAGCCGTCAGCAGCTCAGTCAGACATGGAAAATACAGATAAAAATAGGAAATCAAAGTTCAGTGTTCACTCAGTTTTATCCTTGCATTGGTCTACAACCAATCCTGAGGGGATTATCTGTTAGCAACTGTTGCTAACCATCCCAGTCTCCTGACAATGATTTACCAACCCGTAACGAGTTGGATTTACTGTTAGGAACCTCAATATCCCAGGAATTTCATTTCTAAGTACTTAACCATCAGAGCAGGACTGGGCTCAAACAGAGGCAGTTATCCAAGCCTGACACAACAAATAATTAGATAATAATGACATAATAAAGCTGTGTCAAACTCATTTTCACAGAGGGCCACATGAGCATCATGGTTGTCCTCAAAGGGCAACTTTGACTAAACACCAAGTCATGTTCCTCCTTACTCCAGCTAAACACTGCTAACAAACAATAACTGTGCTCTACATGGTGTTTCCTGCGTAGAAACAGAGTTTTGATACATCTTCTTTCTACGCAGTACTATGTGTATGACTAACTAAATGTGTTATAAATAATACAGAAATACTATTAAAAATAAAAACAAGAGTTGTACTCACTGTTGAGTGGCTGGCATTTTGACTTCTGAGCTTGAGTACGTGGAGWAGCTCCCTCTTCCTGACAGGGAATTCTCACTGGAGTTTAAATTTATGACTTAGTGGGAAATTCCGACTTCCCAGTACAACTGAACAGCAGCAAAAGAAGCTGACGAAAATGCAGCTAAATGGAGATTTTTCACTGCGTCAATTTACCGGAGATCATGGGGAAACGTTTAGCCTCAACAGAGCCGGATATTTCCCCTGAGATTTACATCGCTCTAATCAGAGGTAAAATGAGACTGAATGGTGAAAGTACATGCAGCAGGCGGCCAGGAGCGAAACTCCCTGTGAATGCTAATTTGTTTCATGTCTGCTAGATGACAAACAGGGTGATTATCTGCCAAATTAAATAGCAACCAAAACAGTTTTGGCAGGAACACGCCTCATTAGGGGCCCTGAAGATTTTAGATGAGGAAAGCATAAAAAAATCTTCCAAAAATCAAGACGTGGTCGTGGTTCAGTTGTTTATCGTCAAGTTTGCAGATTTTTTCACATCAGAAGACGGAACAGATGAATCTGAGTCCTGCTATTCATATCAGCTGCTCCTCAGGAAAACAAATGGCTGTCTAATTATTAAAAGCTTCATTAGGTTTATTATTTGAGTGATTGTTGTTTTTAAAGTCCAACCTGACCGTCTCATTTAAAATAAACCTCAAAAAACATCCTTCAGCTCAGTGATAACGGTTGAAGCCTTTAAAGAGTCCTTAGAAAATAAGAAGTAAGACATGTAATTGCTGTTTTTTTATGAAAACTATGAAGGATGCAATCAGCTGAGTTCTCACAGGTAACATGAAAAAATATCATGACTTCTTGACTGATGTCTCGTTAAGTTGTTGATATTCTGGTGACACCGTGTCAAAGATGTCTCAGCGTACAGACCTGCATTCTGAATGTTTCCAACATGATGTTTGGGAAGAATACTCCACTTTTTTTTATTTTCAAGCCCTTTTCTGGCCTCTGTTTGTTTTTAGTTTTTATTTTTTGCATTTTGATTGGTTTTATGTTGTGTTCATGAGTTGAATATCAAAGACATATTGAAATGTTACAAACCATCCCTGACTGAAACATTTCATGTTTGCTACGTCCCATTGTAAATAAAATATATGTTTATAGTGTCCTGATGCACGTTCAATAATCCAGGTAGGAAAACCTAACAAGGTTCAATTAGTCGCACAGTTGATCTATGATGTGAAGGGACTTCTTACAAAGCTGAGTTTACCTGCAGCTCTTTTGTTAAAAGACAAAGTGTTTCACCAAAGAAGAACCCGTTCAGAGGACCTGACTCAACCTTGTCTGGCTTTATAGTTTTTTRCAAATCATTGTAACGTCCCAGCTTTGTCAGGATTTGACATGTTTATAATTTGTTTAAATCTGTGGAGTATCTTCAGGGAAAACACTTGACACATTCATAGAAATTCTGCTGTCACAGTTACTGTCTGGAAGTTGTCGTTCAGGTTCGGGTTTAAAGCCAACAGAAATATTTGTTTTTACAAACACGAACAGCACAGAGGTGGATAAAACTTCAAATAGCCTCTGGCTAAAGTTAAAAAAAATGTCTCTTTTATAAAACRAGCATCTCTTCACCCCACTGGGCTTTTGAAAGAATAAACGAGTGAAACCCACACACTGTTTCACTCCGGGATCACGTCACAGCTTGACTGCAGAACCATCAGACCTGTGATAAATATTTAATTCTCCCAAAGTGCAGAGGGAGAGGAAAACGTTGGGTGCACTAAAGCTGACCATTATACACCATGACAGCCAGTTCAGTTTTTATCATGACGTGAACAGATGATGTAACTGTTAGACTGTCTTATAGAGGAACTTACTGGTATGAGTCAAGAAATTTATTCTGTTTATTACTGATTTTTAATATACGGTTTTATTTCCTAAAAGAACTARGATATGTCTT